TCATGTTCAAACATACACGGTGGCCAGTGGTGGCATGCTACCGGTTTGGCCAAACCGGTAGTAAAAAAAAGCCTCCAATGATCAGCTGAGCGGAGGAAGAAGAGAAAAGCACAGGATCGGCCTTCCCACCTGCCTCTGCGCTTTTCTCTTCTTTATCCTCTTAGCTGATTGGCGCTTCAGGCCTCAGCTGGTGTGTGGAAAGCTTCGCGTGCAATCACCAAACTGGTAGCGGGACAGGCAGGATCCCACTGCTGGCTGTGGCAGTAAGGGAGAACCCTTATTATTACTTTTCATTCCAACTTTATTGTATCCCTAGGTTGTCATCCTGCAATGCTGTTTAGTGAAGCCAATTACTTTATTTTAAAAAAAATAAAAGAAAAACCAGTTGCTCTCCGAGATGGATGTTCTGACAGACGAGCACAACGTTTTGCTGATAAAACGTCTCACTCAGATTTGTCAAGGCATGATTTTTTTTTAATGGGTGGAAGTCATTACAACATCCAGCCCTGTCATCTGAGAGTTCTTCTAATCTGTGAACTTTGATAAAGTAGATGAGGTGCCATGTATTTTCAGTCACTTGGGTGCTTGATTCTTGCCCCGTCTGGGCAAATTTTAATTGATAAGGGTAAACTCTTAATTTCAGAGTATTCTATCTGGCACTCCAGTTGCAACTGTAGTTTTTCATACAGATTTGGTGATGCCTTTTCTTAAGACGACAGTGTATAAGTACAATTTCAGCTTCTTTCCATTTTCTCTTCAGAGACTTCAGCAAACCTGATGCAGAATTGCAATCTGGCTCCAGTGACGGTCTTACAAATGTAGCCACTACTAATCCGGCGGTACAATGTTTTACGAAGAGATATCACCCTGTTTCTTACCCAGAAACTAAGAAGACCGCATTGGAAAAAAACTGTAGAAAAGATGATGGAGACTCTCTCAAAAAGACCCATGAAGTTACCAGTTCAGATTCTTATCTTGCTACGGATAGTAGCAATGATGACATACATGCAGCAAATAAATGGAAATCGAAAAAAAGAAATGTTAACACGGAAAGCAAGCGTTTAGTAGAAGAAAAGGAAGTGACTGAGAGCGAGAAAAGAAATACAGCTTTGCTGAAATATTTCAAACATCTAAATGTTAACATAAAGACAGACCCTTTCGTGAACCAGGAAGATGCTCCCTCTTTGCTTGAAAATGACAAATTTCCATACCCTGATTTTCTTCCTTCGCCCTATAATAATTTGGATTTTAAAAAATTGTCCCTATCCAAATCTGATAGTTGGAAATCATCTATAAATCCACCACTTAATGACTCACTTGATAAAATCGTCTCGCGTCTTGTAGAAATGGAAAGGTTACAGCACTTAACCATCTTAAGAGAAAAGAAAAAAGAGGCCGTTTCCACAGTTGCGGCTGCTAGCAATCGTTCGATTTCTACAAAAGAGTTACACCAATCAAAACAGCCAAGGCCACTTGATTGCTTGTGTTGCCTGTTTAGGCCAGAAAGAGACATAAAATGCAGCTGTCAAAACTGTCAGAGTCACAAAAATTCCGCAACCTCTATACGTTCACCCTCAAAGCCATCGTAAGCATCATGCAATAACTTTTAAGGGCATCAGGATTCTGAGGGGGTAGAAAAAACTTTTTAAGGGAACTTTCAGCAAACACAGGACGATGGTAGATGTCCAGGATACGGAACAGAAACATTTTTGTAGCAATCAATTTAGTTGCTTGTTTCTTCTGTAAGATTATGTTCTTTGATGAGCTTAAATCGGCATTAAATTGTTTGCACGGATGAAATGATAGACATTGTCAGAGAAGGGTCCGGCAAAGCTTTCATGGATGATACTGTGGTGAGACTACTCTATGAACCTAGAATCACAGCCCATCTGAAAGGTGTATACTGCAGCTTAGTGATCGTCTCATTCTGTTTCAAAAAGGGAATAAACATTGAGTAAAAATTGCTATATTTGAGGAATTTGCTTTACTGACAAAATATTATTCCTTTTTAAGATTCATTTTACAACCAGTGTTATTAACTCTTAAAATTATTGAGTCTCAGTAGTGCTTATATCTGTATGACCCTTAGGTGACCCTGAATCTGCCTGAGTGCAGAGAACTCAGGAATGCTTAAAAAGCATCTGCAAATGCTCAACTTACAACAGTTCATTTAGTGATTGTTTGAAGTTACAACTGCACTGAAAGTGACGTGACTAATAACAACCTTTGCAGCATCCCCATGATCAAAATTCAAATGCTTAGCAACTGGTTCATATTTATGACCGTTACTGTGTCCAAAAGTCATGTGATCCTTTTGTGACCGTCAAGCGAAGTCAGTGGGGAAGCCAGATTTCACTTAACACTTAATGATTTGCTTAACAACTGTGGCAAGAAAGGTCATCAAATGGGGAAAAACTCACTTAACAAATGTCTCAACAACAGAAATTTTGGGCTCAATTGTGGTTGTTAAGTCAAAGACTCCCTGCCACCATAAAATGTGGCTACTTCAATTGAGACCAGAATCGCCATTGCTTGCAATGTAAAGGGCAACCTTTTTGACTGCACAGAGTGGCAATCCCAGTCTTGGCTCTGGTTGTAACCTCAGAACTGCGTTTTTGTTAAGCAGGAAGAGGTGGGAATCCCAGGCAAGAAGTGCTGGAGAGGTACAGACGCTACAGGGAATGCCGTGGGCAGGTGGGTAAAGAGAACAAGGTGGAACGGTGCTATGGGGGTGCCTTGAGCCAGCGCTGAAGTACAGAGATAAATTAAAGGGGGCTACAGCACGTGTGTCGGTTAGTGTTGCAGAATGCTATGGAGCAGGGGTTGCCAACCAGTGGGCCGAGGACCACTGGTTGTGAGAAAATTTTGGTGGTCTGCAGAGAAATGTCCCCGCCCCCCAAAGCAATTAATCCAGACTGCGTGGGAACACATGGTCCATCCACCCGCTGGCCTCCACCCTTCGGCCAAGCACAAACCTTGAGTAGAGCCACACAAGCTGGAACTGGAAGGTAAGACCAATGGTGGGGGAGGGAAATCTGTCCCGGGGTAGCTTGCTGACACTGGTGCGGAAGTCAGTCCCATATTCCAGAGCTGCAGCAGTCACAAGACTGGCCCTTTGGTCATCCCAGAGCAGCTCCTCCAGTCCATGGCAGGCCAGTGCACCCGGGTGGAGGAGCAGCTACTCCGGGATGACCAAAGGGCCAGTTCTGCAGTGACTACGGCAGCTCTGGGATTGACTTTCCCACCAACGTCAGCAAGCCAGCATCAGCCAAAATTCATATTACTGGTCTGCGGGATTTAAAATTATGAGTTTGGTGGTCCCTGAGGTCTGAAAGTTTGGTGACTCCTGCTATGGAGTACAAAACCCCTGGGATCTTGTAATCTACAGCATGTCCCTTTGGGAGAAAAGTTAGCAAAAGCAACCTGCAACCTTCTGTGCTGGCTTCTACTTTAGACTTTTTGGTCGTGGGAAGCTGGCAGGGAAGATTGCAAATGGTGACCATGTGTTCCTGTGACCTTGCAACCATTTTACTGCCAACCGGTTGCCAAATCATGATAGTAATTGTGGAGGTGCTACAATGACTGGAACTTTTGAGAACCTTTCATAAATTACTCATTCGGCGTTGTCGTAACTTTGAAGAGTTACTAAACGAGTTCGTGTGTGAATTTTGCAACACTTGTTATTTTCGCAGAATTTAATGTACTTCTATTTTCATGGAAGGCAGTGATAATCATTTCTACACAAGGAAAGGAATGATTGAGCCGTGTCTTTTTAGTTAATTTTAATCAAGACAGAAAAACAGAAAGTGACGATAGGTGCTGTGGATTTAAACCAATTAAATAGAAATTGGGTTATCTGATTTTCCACTGCTATATCTAGAGTAGAAAATATCTGATGCTTCTGATGTTGCCAAGATGCAACTATCAGCATTTTTAACTACTGGCCTTGTTTAGGGTATGTGGAGAATTATTTACAAATTTCTAAAGAGCCGTCTCATCAAATTTCTACCAAAAACACTTCCCTAATATTTATAAGCAGTAACATGCTTTTCTATATTTTGTGTTCAAGTTGAATATCAGAAAAGTGTTAAATCAGAAGGTTTAATATATTTAATACATTGTGATGTTCATGTTTCATCAACTGGAACCCAGTACCAGATGGTGTTGTTATGCTTTAAAAAATTATTCAGAAGAGATATTTGGAAAGACAAGTTCACCTTCTTAAAACACTTGCATCCTTTTTCAAGCTTCTTTGAAATTTTGAGTTGACCACAGTCACATCTTTTTTACCAAGGCTTGCTATCTATATAAAAATGTGATTGTATAAGGTGAGATTGGCCTTCAGGCACATTTTTCTTCAGGTACTTTAGTTGCTATTACTTTTTGAAAGTAATGTATTTTCAAAATTTCTTCCATTTTATTAGAACTTAGATAAATGACAGTTAACAGCCTTAAGTCTTCAGTGTTTGGATTTCAGCTCCCAAATTTCCCAACCAATAGATCACAAAGCCCATGTAGTATAGCCAATGCTGAATTGCTCCAAGGAGACTCAAGATTCTAAGCCATCTTCATTCACCAAAATTCAATGGGCAATTTTGGGCAACAATTCTCTCAGACCAACCTATTTCACAGATAGTTGCTTTTGCAGTTGTGAAGCCAAATGGGAGAATGCCTATCCTATATTCCCTTATGCACCCTCCACTTCAAACTCCTGACTGAAAGATATGATACAAACATAATAAATACTGGAGGAGCACAGACTAAAGAATAGTGAGCTGGAGAACATGATTTGTTGGTAAAAATATCTCAATTCTCTCACTGGGGAGTGGAGGAGCAACCACCAGAAAAACAGTAAAGGAATAATGTGACCTGTTTTTGTTTACCATCCATTAATAAATTGGTTCTGTATTACCAGGCTGCTGGCACATAGTGTTACTGAACTACCACCTCTTACAGTAGAGAATAATGAAACTGAAAAATAAACTTTATCAGAGGCAATATTAAAAATAGAAAATGAAGCTTTATTAAAGAAAATTTCTGTTTCGTGCGGATTCAAAACTCTGTTACAGCTTGTCAATTTCAGTGGCAAAGACATTATCCTGAATTTTCAGACTGGTTCAGCTTCTTGAGCTCACATCAAGCCATGTAAATTTCTGTCACAAATTTTCCACTTACCCTATATAGGAAGGGAAACATATTATTAGCAGAGTATTCGATATCATTTACCAAAAGTGTTCCTAAACATTTTTTGTGTTTTTACAATCTATGCAGTAGCACAAAACACCAATGAACAGAATAAAGAATACAGTACTTAAAATGTATTTCCAACTGTGACATACTATTCCAGAAGTTAGGAATTTTAAACATCACTTATGCTTCTTCACAACTTCCCTTCGAGAATCTTTTGGTAAACTTAGATTGGCCTCCACGTGAAACCACCTTGTTCACTACATCTAATAGGATTGCTGGATAAGGCAAAAACTAAACTACCAGTGCAGTATGGATTAATTGCATAGTGTTTAACAAAACCAGAATCCAGATGGTTCTTTTATATAGACATCCAGACTCCTATACTGTGCTGCTTAAAACAATGCAAAAGGACTGAATAATTTATGTCACTTTAACCGAGTGTCACAGAGTATTAATAGTTGACAACCCAAATACACTTTAATATATTACCTCTATGACTATACCATTATAAAGTCTTAAGCAGTTATGTCGGCAATTCCATAACAGCATTTGATTATATTTTGAATTTGTGCATGGAGAGAGCCTCTATAATGGATTTAAAATATAATCAGTTGCCTATTTCAGTTTTACTACAATAAAAATCTTATCCAGAAATGAGACGAACGTATTTTTATAAAGAAAACAAAAAACATCACCACAAGAGTACTATGCTAAGAACTGCCGGCATGAGAAAGTGTAAATGAAGTCTATATTTGTGAGCTGTGAACAAAAGAAAAATTTTCTTTAAAAAAAAAAAGACATAAGAATGTTTTGCATATCTTTTAGAGAACAGAAACCTTTGTTCATGTCTTCTGGTTGCCATCCTCTTCATTTGAACGGCACCTATAACACAAAGAATAAGTAAACAAGCAACTTTGTTTTTTCTTGGGAAAGTTTATAAATTTTTGTAGCCATAAGTGGGGGAGGGGGAGAAGGTTGTAGCTGCTACTGGAATTGTCATGACAATTGTCTTTTATTATTTGGAAGCAGGGACACGAACGAATGGTGAAGACCATCACATTTTATGACATGTGTCATATTGCCACTAGATGCGCAAGGGAGGCTGATAGCATTGTCAAAACAGCATGCCCTTTTAGTGTGTGTGCAAAAGACTATCAAGTAATATTTATCTTCATTTCAGTGAAGTTGCTGTTTCCTGCACAAACAAGAAACATTTTAAATAAGTTGACAATCACATTTACTACTTTTTAAGTTAACATTAGAGCGTAGAGCAGGGGTGTCAAACTCACGCCATCACGGTGTCGTCACATGTCATATCAGGATTTTTCCCCCTTCGCTAAACCGGGCGGGGGCAGGCCCAGCACATGATGCATCCGGGCCCCGAGCCATGAGTTTGACACGCCTGGCGTAGAGGTTCAAAATAGACAATATTATCAACTACTGTCGTAGTTTGTTATTCCATTAGAGTAGGGAACAGCTTCTAGCAAGCATCCCATTAGCAAACAATAGGTTTGGCTGCACTAAATATGACTTCGTTTTAAGTACATGCCTTTATGGATTTTAAAAACCCTACTTATAAACTTCAGAATATTATACAGCATCTTAGCTAGGCAACATACACGAATCATCTGTTGTATGAACTGCTTTTAATAAAAAAATATTGGGTTGGCAAACAATTGATTCAGTTGGGTATCTTCATGATGAACAAACTATTTTTAAAAGTCGTTGCTAAATTTTTATCTACACATGCTGTCAGAAATAACCTTGTTAGGAAGGTGAAGATGGTGTCTCAGCAAACCAGACCCCCTGGAGTAGGCGTTGAGTGGCCTGTGACTTGCTTTCCTTTGTCTCTCTCAGCACCATCAAAAAGGAAAAGTAAGAAAAACAGCACAAACATTAGTTAAAAACCTGCATCTAATTCAATAACGTACAGGAATAAATTTCTTAACAATGAAAGCAGACAATATCTGCAGGGGTCTTGGGACAACATTTACACTGAATTGTCAATAATTAATAGTCTAAAAGTTCTTTCAGGGGATCACATCTTTTAATAATTGTTTTAATTAAAGGACTATTAAAAAGGAAAGTTCTTCTTATGGTTTACCTGAGTCGGCAACGCCGGAGACAAAAATCTTTTAAAAAGGGCTACCAATGCCTTGTTCACAAAAGACTTTATTATCTAATGATGCATACCGAAAACATACAGAAATCTGCATGGTCCACTTTACATGCAGCAGAACAATCTTCACTTTACAATAAGTGAATGTCAACTATTTTATGCAAGAGACAACACTTTAAAGTCACATTTCTTAAAGTTTCATTTACAAAAGAAATAAAAGGTAAAGAAGCAATTACCGCTTTTAAAAAGCAGCTGCTTTGTTCAAGAGTGGAAGGTTTATGCCTGTATTGAAAGACAACATGATCACAAATAATGAAAACAATGAACAAATGAAAACACCTATAGCATAAAGCAGTACATTTTCAAATGACATACAAATAGCTAAAAGAATTGTTGGTGCTTTCTATCTGGCCAAGAGGAGATAAGGACTTTTGGAACCAGAGCTTAGCATTTGTTGTTAGTAAATGAAAATGACTTTAAGTACTGGTTTTATGCCATCGTGAACTGTATTTAACAAAAGGTATAAAGTCTATGTAGCAAGTTGATATTTTTAAAAAAGTAATATAAACAGTACACTGAAGGCGCTCTCTCCATCAAGTGCACACTCCTCCACTTTTTTCTTTGAATGTGATGATCAAACACAAGCTGGAATTATGCCACAGTTGTAATGCCAGAAAATAATATATATTTATATATATATTTATATATTATAGGTATATCTCCTTTATAAAACATGCAGGGAATTCTGCTACAGAGTGACCGATTCTCGTTTGTCAGTTGATCCAGTACAATTAACATCTTAAACACCCGTGATGTTGATGGTTTAGCTTACCTTCAGTGTACTGAAAGTTGTACGCAACCTGCTTTAAAAGAGGAGACCATCCCTGTGGGCAGGCTCAAGAAGGAACAGACCCCTTTCGGCACTGACTACACCAAGGGCATATGCTGCTGTGGCCTGCACGCACACACCTAGGAAAATGTAATATAAACAGCATTTATGCTGGCCATTTTTCAGAGACAAAAATGAAGCCAAATTTGCTAAAAACCAAAATCAACCACCCAGTCTTACTGAGATTCCATCACAGATTTTTTTTTATATATATACATCGTCCATGTGCGCATGTGTGTGTGTATTATTTGAGAGGAACTGCAACCATATACTTTAGCACTGTACTCCTGTGCAGTCTTGGCAATTAAAAATAATTCTACAGTGAAAAAATCTTCACATGAGAGACAAACAGATTTACTCTAACATTTCTAAAAGAAATAATCCACCTTTGTGTTAATTGAAATATATCATTCTTCCTCAATTTTGCAGGGGAATTATTTATATGTTATATGTACACTTATAAATTGCAGTGAAACTTCATCAGTCTTTGTATATTAACTATTCAAACCCTTTGGATATCTTCACTGGATTTAAATTTTCTCCTGGATGAAGGCATGCTGTAGGGCCTGGTTGATACTAATCCGTTTAGCTGGATCTAACATGAGGATCTGGTCCAACAAGTCCTTCAACTGGTGAACCTTTTTGCGCTGATCTTCAGGGAGGCGTTGGCACCCAATTAAATCTGCAAGCAGGTCCTTTGTTGGATTAATGGTGCTCATCACAGTCACTTTTTCCTACCAAGACAAGGGCATCCAGCATTTATTTTCAAGATAATAATAAAATTACCAAGAATATGAAATGGCCAGTCCAGTTAAGATATTACATTATGCAATTGAAATTTGGCTTTTGAAAGCAAAACACTTTCCCCAAATAATAATTGTACCATGCTCCTAGTGTTGTCGATTGGAAGAATGAGAAGGGGAAAACAAAACTTCCACAGTATTATAACTACGGGTAGTTCTCAACTTACAACAGTTCATTTAGTGACCATTCAAAATTACAATACTTTTAATGCATCTTTTTCTTCTTGGATGTTTTTTTTCTAAATGTTTTCAGAGTCTTAAGTGCAGCACTGGAGCTTCAGGAATGGAACCGTAATTTAACATAAAGCATGTTTCTTTGCAGCCTAGAGTCGTGGCTACCTATTTCCCATAATGTCTGGGTCAAAAAAATTAGATCTTTAAGAATAATAGCACGAAGAGGAAGGTTCTTTTATAAATAAATGCAACCAAACCAAACCAATGTTTTGGTCAGCTCAGGTTTACCCTCCTCATCATATACACACACCCAGTATATTTTGAATTCTTTACTATACTTCATAATTTCCTGTAAAGACTCTTTTATTTGTGGAAGATTCTTATAAATCACAGCACCTTCATGCAAAATTTTAATTAAGGATGCCATAGAAAGCAATCTTGCTTATACTATTACTTACCCTTTCTGTTACTTTATCTACCTCTATGTACATAAAGTTGAGGTTTTGATCGAAGTGCTGATCTTTGAACACTCCTTTCCGGATCATCTGGAAAGAACAGCATTAAAAAATGTTAAAAGTGCGACTTTTAAGTGTTTATCCTAAAAACAGTAAAACCAAGAGGACATTTATATTACTGACTAGTGAACACAAAAATGAACTTCAACACGTATTCATAAAATGAAAAAAAAAGTTCCATTCATTCATTCTGTCATACACTGTAAGTTTAACTCCAGAAAACTGAAACAAGCCTACCCCACGCCCTTCCAGAAAGTATTGAATATTTCAGGGGGGTTTGTTGATTTTTATAAGGATTTCATTTTTTTTACCTTGTTTGGCATCTTTCCTTTGAGGTCCATAGCAAGTTTCAACATATGATTATTGGTTTTCCCAGCAAATAATATTTTCCCAGTGTAAAGTTCATACAATGTACAGCCTACAGACCACATATCTATACCGTAGTCATAGATTTTGCCTATAACTGAAGGAGAACAATTTTAGATTACAAGCCATTGATCATATTAAACTGCAATAAATATCATTTCTTTTTCTAAAATCAGCCTGGCAGAAAAGAGAATGAATTGTAACATCTAGAGTAATTCTGTATGTCATCAACAAGTGTCTTTGTGTCACTAACTGTAATTTTCCTCTTGTTTCTTCCTTATTTTGTCATTTACAAATAACTGATGGAAATACTGTCTTCTGTAAAATCAACTATTAAGCGGTACGTGAAGAGAGATTGGGTAAAATAGTACTGCATGATGTAGCAAAGTCACATTATACTGTTTCAAATGGTGCATCTCTTACTTTCATTCAATCTGAAAAAACAGAATGAGTAAGAATAAACACACATGCAAAATTCCATGTTAAATTCTTCATTTGTCAGGCAGATATTCAGATGATGCAGGGACTTCTCCAGTGAACAGAAAGAAGGAACAAAAAGGATAGATGAACCAAGTTGCGAGGAGAGAATCAACCAAGAGAAAAATAGATTGGGAAGAACAAACTAAGGATCCTAGAAAAAGGCAGAAGTGGTGGTATACTTCTCAGCAAATAAAAAAAAAAAGAGGACTTAAAAAGATTAGAGTCTAAACCCCCAAACCATGAGATTTTTTAAGTGGCCCCTACCTTCCATTCAGCTTTAATCTAAGCTTCAGATTCCGATTTCTAAAGACATTGTCTTATTAAGGATTATACGTATCTGATATCACACCAAAGAATGATAGCAATCATAATCATAAAATTCCAATACAAGTTAAATTAATGTTTATTAATAATTTTAACCTAAATTCAGAGTAGATTAACTTACTAATTTCAGGAGCACGGTAAAATCGACTAACAAGATATGGTGTGATATCATTGTCAGCAACATGTGAAGCTGATCCAAAGTCACAAAGTTTTAAAATGGTTTTTGATTCATTCACCTAAAAGAAGCAAAAATAATAATTAATCCTATTATAGATGTAGTAAGTGGCACTACTCTGTGTGTGTGTGTGTGTGTGTGCAGAAATAGAATAGTGGACACAGTAACTCCTTGGTCTAATCCAGCTGGTTACTTTCATATTCTAAGCAAAAATGTCAAAATATTGAGAAGTTGACTATGTTGCAATGTATTGTTCTTACTTGTGAAGGTGCTACATTTCCTATTAAAGAGGAGTTTGTAGCAACGTTGTCGAAAACAACTGGAATTTATGCATTTGACAATTCAATAAAAATGAAGTCACAATACTCCATAAGCCATGGGTGTCAAACTTGATTTCATTGAGGGCTGCATCAAGGTTGTATTTGATCTTGTGGGGGGCGGAGGGGCATGGCCAGCTCAATGTCACTCGTGTTGGGATGCCTGTGGCAGCCCGAGCTCCCTGCCAGCGAAAACAGGCTCCCAAACTCTGTTTTGGCTGCGATGGCCTCCTGGAACCCTCTGCCAGTGAAAACAGCTTGGGAGGACCACACACAGCCTTCCCAAGCTCCGTTTTCGTTGGCAGAGGCACTGTGGAACGGTCCTTTACTGTTTCCATGGCGGCCCCGCAGGCCAGACCTAAGCACCCCATGGGCCAGATACTGCCCCTGGGCCTTGAGTTTGACACCCCTGCCCTAAGCTATTCACATTTTTCCACTTTTGAGATAAAATGGCCAAAATACTTCTACATATCATCTGAACAATGTTCTGCACTTTCAATAGAAATCCCTCTTTTTTTACCTTCCAGGTAATCCCTAGATTATCTTGGGACCACACACACAAAATGTCATGATAGTATGGCAACGAGAGCAACTGATATGGCAATTCGGCTGTAATGTTACAGCTGATGGAGGAAGTTTTAAAAAGCTATTACAGAACGGTCGATAAGTTTACATCAACTAACAATTGTAATTTTTTTTACTGCATTAAAATATTCTATCTCTTTAGATATTTTGGAGGATAAAGATTTTTCATTCTCATAGCAGCTGAAAATTAACATAAATAATATAATACTTCTGCCTCTTTCAAAGAAACTCCTATAGAACGATAACTGAGATTACCTACCAAAATGTTATCTGGTTTGATATCAGCATGTAAAATGTTGCATCTTTTCAGAAGTTTCAAGGCCAGGAATAACTGCTGACTATAGGATCGCACAGCCTTTATATGGAGACCAACATCTTTTCCATATTTCTTTAGAACTTCTCGTAAATTCATACTAAATTGAGAACCAATACAATGAAATTTTTAAAAGAGGTAGAAAGAGGAATTGTTAAAATTATAATATAGTGGATTTGTAAATATTTTGCATGAGCAGAAAAACACTTCTGGTTGCTCAGGGTGTTCCTTGAATTACTTTCCTTATGAGACGGAAAGCCACACTGGAAATACCTTCCTTTTTTAGTAACAAAAATAAAAATGGGGTTATGAACCATTTGCTAATAAGATAAAATATAGATAAGGAAAGTGTTAATATATTGCTATTTATTCCTTACTTCATAAAATGATTTTTAAAATCTATTTAATCAAAACAGTTCTATATAGTATTATAAAGTTTGAATTCCTATAAACTCTATGTGGTAGAGATTCAAATGAATGGTTAAGTTTGTTTTGTTTCAAGCTCACAACAAAACAAGCATAATCTTCTACAGGTTATGACTTGGTTAACTTAGCAATCGTTCAAAGTTATGACAGACCTCCAAAGGCTACTTATGACCTGGTTCCAAAGTTATGATTTCTACCCCTATAACCTGGCACCTAACAACTGGCAAGCATTTTTATTTATTTATTTATAATTTGTCAAACAAAAATGAAAACACGAACATAAAAATAAAATGACAGGGACGATAGGCACGTTAGTGCACGCCCCCATTTGTGGTTGTTTGCAGCACCCCATGGTCCCATGACCACAACTGTATGGTTTTTACAGAACCCAGAGTACTTCCAGTTTCCAGAAAAAATCCATAATGAATGATGGGTTTACTTAATTTCTGCAGCATTTGCCTAACAACATCCATAAAAAGGTCATAAAATCCAGTCCAGTCACCTGATAACCCACTTTTACAACAGTCATGACTTTTGACTATAATTGCCAGACTCAATTATATAGGAACTTGAAGACTGCCTGCACTGGAACTTAGTCCATTGGCTATTACTTGGTGAAACAAAATTCAAGAGTTCAAATACTGTATTCTGCATCCAGACATCACAAAAGTCCTTTGAGAACTTCAGCCATGGAGATGAAAACAATATAGTTGTTCCTTTATTTTTCCTCCCCAGGGCAACATGTGTAGAAGTGGTGACAGTTCATCCAGATTATTTTTGACATACAAAAATTGCCCTGTGGCTTGTTTTTAATCATAACACTGAGAAACACATGGAGGTTTGCAATTCTGAATGTTTCCTGAGAGACACATGCAGAAACCATGTTCAACAAACCTATACAAAACCAATAATTACATTTCCAGTTTTAAAAGTGTGCTGAAGCACATTAATAGAGCTCAAGGGAATACAACTAGTGCTCAATTTATAAACACAATTAAAACCAAAATTTCTGTTGCTAAGCAAGGCAGTTGCTAAATGAATTTTGCTCCATTTTATAATTGTTTTGTCACAGTTATGCCAATCGCTGCAGCTGTTAAGTGACTCAGCACTATGCTTAAATAACTGCTGCTTTATCCTAATAAACCCTCCCCCTCCATTCCAAATCACCCCACTCAATCTAAGCCCATAATATTGGGAACATTAACTATCTTGCACTTGGCTATATGAGAGGTTTCTCTTAAATCACAGCACTTGGAAGAACTCAGAATGCATAAAATGATGCTATTCAAAATGACTCCACTCTTCTGGGAATGGGATAGACAATAGTAACAGTGTTTATTAGTTGATTTATATCTGAAGCAAATACAGAGCCCTCGATTTACAATCGTTCATTTAGTGACTGTTCGAAGTTACAACGGCACTGAAAAAGTGACTTAGGACCATTTTTCACACTTACAACCACTGCAGCATCCCCATGATGTCCCGAGGTTACGTGAGTCCATTTGCGACTGTCTGACAAGCAAAGTTAATGGGGAAGCCAGATTCACTTTACAACCGTTACTAATTTAACAACTGTGGTGATTCACTTAACGACATTAGAAAGAAAGGTCATAAAATGGGGCAAAACTCCCGTAACAAATTTCTCACGTAGCAACATAAATTTGGAGCTCAATCGTGGTCTTAAGTCTAGGACTATCTATATTAAGGATTGTCATATTTTGATTTTTTTCACTTTATTTTCTTAAGTAAAAGACTTTTCTTCCAATTGCTTCAAACTTTCAGGAAATTTTCCATCTCTAGTTCGGCTAAATCTTTCTCTACACCAGGGGTCTCCAACCTTGGCAACTTTAAGACTTGTGGACTTCAACTTCCAGAATTCCTCAGCCAGCTTTGTTGGCCGAGGAATTCTGGGAGTTGAAGTCCACAAGTCTTAAAGTTGCCAAGGTTGGAGAGCCCTGCTCTACACTGTATTCATTTCATGCTGTTCTGCAAGGTCAATTAATCCACAAGGAGAACTTGTGATAGGCATGGTAGAGTGTAATAAATGAATGGATGCTACGTGAGATGGTCAGCTGTATAAATGTGGTAGATAGATACTTTATCTTCTTTGAAACTAGAACAAAACTAAATACACAAAATTCATTTTTACACAAATCTGCAGAATATTTTAAAAATTCATTTTTACACAAATCTGCAGAATAATATTTTAAAAATGACTCAGTATAAATATATTTTTAAAATGTTCACATAGTATTTTTTATTCTTCAAATTACTTACAAAAGACTACTGGAAAGAGCAGGTGTGCTAAGTTAATTAACTGGATTTGTATGAAAACCAAGCAGCTAAGCAACAGATGGGTAATTGTGAAAACTTATTTGCATTAATTACAGTATAGATGTTTCTTAGCAACTGCAGAGTGTTATTTTTCCATGTCCACTTCAAATAAAACTTGACAGAAATTTGATGCTAAGAAAACAAATTATCCTTTCAAGCTGAGAAACTGCTTCGATATTTGCACAGAAATGAAAGGATTTTATGTTGTTTCAAATGCACATTAAAAAAATTATGTCTTTCACTTATTGGTTTTATACTGTTTCTTCTCTGTCAGAAAATTCACTAATTAATATTTTATTATTCAATCAAGAACAATGTGTTTACAGCTATTGGATAAAAACTACTAACATATGAAAGAATTGTCTTAAATTTGCTGATTGGAACAGGGAAGGAGATCTTTACCCTTAAGCTGTGAATACATGAAGAGATTTATATTAATCCTCAAATATGTTCATTAAATATGAAAATTATCATTAAACAGGTGGAATAACAATTTCTGAAGCATTATAACAGTGTAAAACTTCATAAATCAATATGTTATGATAAAACTTATTTTTAAATGGGCTTAAATTTACTTTTACATACCTCAGAGGTTCAAATACTAGACAAAGGTGCTGCTTATGGTAAAAATGTCGGAATAAACGTAGACAATGAAATTTGTCATCAGGGTCTGCATCATTGAGCTTCTTCAAGAATTCCAGTTCTTTTAAACCAGTTTTTTGCCTGAAAAAATATAATTTATTACAGTAACAGAACACAAAAACCAAACTCCTCTTCCATCTATATTCAATCATGTAATTTTCAATGTTATAGCTTTCCATCAACATTTCAAAAATGTTCGAATTTGAATGGAATTCATATTCCATTCAAAACCATAAAAATGCAAATTCTGGGCACACTTGGGTTCTTTTGTTTTATCCTGAAACCCATATATACCCATATCCACCCCCACACACGATATATCTAGGAGAAATAACGTTTTAATTCTTATATATTCCTTTCCTATTAAATGTAGCAAAATCTGGGAATATGTAAAATGTTTAGGTATACATTGTCCCAAGCATAGGAACATCTAGGAGGAAAAATGCATTGCACATTTTTTGTTCCATAAAACAGAATAGGACTGCTTTATTCTAGCTGTCAACGAGAACAGGCTGTTTCTGGTAGAGGTGGCAGTGTGATTAAGTGGAGGAGAAAAGAAAGACCAAGAACACTGGTTGCAATTGAGGGGAGAAAGAATTGGCAAAAGTTAAGGGTAGGAAAGCCAATGAGACATGCCATGCTGGGAATCTGCTCTTTACTGAGGACAGCACTAGGGGTGGCAATAGCTATGGGAGCGCAGGGAAAGAAGACACCAGAAGGTAAAAGAAGCAGATCCATGAGATCTGTTCTGTTAAAACCTGCTGTGAGTAGCATGGGAGATGTGTAGTAGTGTTGCCTTACTTGCCCTGCACAGTTAAGCGAGGATTCCACTGCAACTTGCTCTGGAAAAAATTAATACTAACCCTAAAAGTCATCATATTTTCAATTTGCCAAACTACAAGTGACCCAATATGGCTCAATCAAGCTTCTAGGAATGATGGTTTATTGCAGGCTTGGAACAAAACGTAATTTCCATTCTGTGCACACTTGTAATAACATCTTACTTCTGTTGCATTTTGAAATCATTTGTTTCTGGCTTAAATACTAAGAGAGATAAGAGGGCTGCCAAAGGTTCCTTCAAATGCCATATAAATATATAAAGAACAATTAAAGTTAAGGAAATAGACAACATTTCAATGTTTCCTATAACATTAAATAAAAGTCATTATTTAATGAATAAGCTAAATGTCAGAAATATTTAGGAGGCTAAACAATTTTTTCCCACATGCATAAATTACGGAAAATATTTTATTTAAATATATTAATGATTTAAGCAATATGGTATATGAAAAAACCCTGTTCTCTAGTGACTAAAACTAACTGCTGCAGTCCATTAATTTCAGTTAATTATACATGATTGATAAATGTGACAAATAAATAAATGTTTATTTATTGAAATTAATAAATTCTGCTCATCAGGATGTCTTTTATATTTGTTATTTGCTATTATTATCGAATGATTCAATACAATTAAAAGCATTTGAACTTTCTCACTTACATAAGTTCATTGTTTCTAATGATCTTGACAGCCACTTCTTGGTTTGCTCTCGCCATATCTCTGGCTCTAACCACATTACTGAAAACTCCTTGGCCAGTGTAACCATATACATTGTAACGTTTATCTAGCACTTCACCTATGTTAACACCTGGGAGGGGGAGAATGAAAAAGAAAAGCATGTAAGACGCCCTGTATATTCAAAACAAAGCACAAGAACTGGTAAGAGCATTGCTACATACAGGAATTAATTATGCAGTGAAGACAATTTAATAATAAAACACATTAATTTATCAATTTTATTCAGCAGATAATACAAAAGAAATTTAGCAACTATACTCACGGTAATATCCTTCAGCATCTGTCCAGTTATCCCTGAGATTTGGATTTTCTTTGAAGTCTTTTCCAAAGCCAGCCGCTCTAAGACGGGCACTCTGAAATAAAGACTCATTTAAGCTTTTTCATCACATTTTAAATATCTGAATTCTCTCTCATATTCATACACACACACACACACAATTAGCTGGATACCCGTGCTTCACTACGAAACTATCTGATCAAGTTTAGTTTTGGGGGAGGAAAATAAGGGGGAAAAATAGTGCCTCTGCCTACCAGCATTCATCTGGCTAGCATCCTGTCAGTGTGTGTGTGATTTCAAGGCTGTTTGGAAACTGAAAAAATATTTGCTGTGTGAGCAAGGAGACAGCAAGGAGCCTGGGCGTGGCTTAGCTCAACTGTTCTGTAGGAAAGCTGCTTGGTGCTGTGAAACTGAAACTCCTCTCCTCTGCCTGTTTTGCATTTGGAACTGATTTCTTTTCAGGTGGGGAGGGGGAGTAGAACTCCTTAGCATCAGAGCATGTTAATAATATGTGAAATACTAATTCTCTGATGGTCGTTTCAAAAGATCCTTTCTTAGTGAGGACCTGGAAGCCAAGAGGAACATACGTGCCAAATTTCAAGTTTGTAGGCTTTATGTTTCTGGAAATTTTGTGATGATGCGTGAGTGGTATTTCGCTTTTATATATATAGATAGAAGATAGATATAAGATATAGACATACATATATCCACAAGCATACATTAATTGTACCTTTGTGATAAGTAATATTAAGCAAGCTATACTATATTAAGTATCTTCTACTAACCAAAAAGAGTAAGATACCAGTGCATATTTAACTAAAGTTAAAAATATGCTAATATTTACCCATTTATATGCTACTAAGAAACTGAACATACTCCTGCAAGATTGTAATAAAAACAGTTGAAGAATCATATTTGGAATCATATTCTAAACTGTTTCTCAAAATAATTTAGTGAACTTTAAGATGTTTACATATTTGTTTCACTAAAACAGTGCTGCATTTCAACAACCATGATAAAATCTATTAGTGTATATCTAATTAGTGTATATCTATTAGTGTACCTACATCAAAATATGCAGCAAACATATCATCTGATTCTGTAAACATGTCAGGAGCTGTGATTTTCTTCTGAGATGAACCTTAAAGAAATATTTAAATAATTAGACTTAGAATGAAAGAAAATGAAATGATAAACAAGTTTACACACACACACGCACAGAGACTGTACAATTAATCTGAGATCATTTTGGATGACAGATATACAATTACAATCCATAAATAAGCCAACAATCTATAAATAAACACTACCAAGATGGTCAATTAAAATCTATGGGCTTGAAATGACTGAAAAATAAGGTTTTCATTTAGCGCCAAAGTTAAGATGGTTAATTTTACCATTCTGAATGGAGAAAGCTGTGCCACCTCAACTCAAGAGAAGATAGGAATAAGAGCTGAATCTCCCAAACAGCTTTTCTTACAGCTTAAACTACACAATACTCTCATTTCAACTTTTAGATTGCAAAATTAAAACCTGCAACCTATATACTACTAAAGTTCTCATCATGATCTTGAACTGGGAGAAATGGTGCATCATAATAGGCTAACAATTTTTGAACCGAGGTACCTCACTCAAATGGGCTAACTTACAGAATGTGTCTAAAATCCAGTATACGTGACTCCCAAGGGAATTAAACTTGAAAAAGCCGTGACTACTTCAGTGCTTCTGGCTGCTGCTGCATTGCTACTGTGGTCACATGATCATTTTCAATGTTCCATGATACGTTTCCCATCCAGTCTCACAATCCCTCTATCCCTCCACCACTTAGCAGCAGCCACTTACTCCCTTGCTTGCTGGGAAGGGAAAGAGAGGGAGGTTTTCAACACTCTCTGCCAGAGTCTCATAAGGAAACTCAATGGGCAAGCCAGCAGAAAGTTGGAAGTTACTCCTGCTCCCAGTGCTTTTGGTCATTTGGTTTCTCTGTTTAGGAAAGGAAAAATTTCTGAAATGATGACCCAACGGAGCATTTTATTTTTAAACTAGAAGGATGTTTTATAGCTCTGTTCAGTAAAACTAGGTAATGTACATCGATCTATCATTGCATATGGGACAGTTTCCCTGCTTTTTGAGAATATAAGGATGACAGTAAGCTGAAATACTCATACTAGCTAAAAGAGATGGACATTTAATTCAATTTCTATTTTTCTTTTAACCTTAAGAAATCTTAATTATTAAATACATGCCACTATATGTTATTACAATATTAAATAAACTTTGAAATGCTAATACATGGTGCTGTTTAGAAATAATGTGTCCCTGTCTGATATGTTGTATTATGACATTAAACTAGGTGAAATTCATTTATTCAGTTCAATAAAGATGTTTGCTAAGAGAAACAAGTACCGTATTTATCGGCGTATAACACGCACAGGCGTATAACACGCATCTTCATTTTAAGGGGGAAATTTCAGGAAAAAAAATTTAAAAAAATTCTGCCTGCCTGCCTTAGTTTCTGGTTGTTTGGGAGCAGCTTCGGCTGAGAATAATAACTATTCGCCTCTTTTACTCAGCCGAAGCTGTTCCGATTCAACCATTAACGAAGGCAGGCAGGCAGGCAGAACGGAGCACTGCGGGCGGGCGGGCGGGCGGACGGGGTGGGGGTGGGGGAGAGGCGACAGGAAAAGCCCCCCCCCCCGCTTCTTTGAAGCAGTTTCTTCCTGTGCTGGTGGAGGAGCGAGAGAGCGACTGAGAGAGCTGACCCAGAGAGAAGGACAGGCTTCGGTTGCTTCCTCACTCCCCTTCTTTCATTTGTGTCCTTGATCCCCGATCCCAGCAGCATTCACCGAAGGCTTCTTAACATTATATCGGCGTATAACACGCATACATCATTTGCCCCCTATTTTCAGGGGGAAAAAAGTGCGTGTTATACGCCGATAAATACGGTAGTTTATCTTATCTTTTGCAACCCTATATGCCATGAAAATGCACTTTAAAGGGGTTCCCAGAGAGAACATTTTTGAGGACAAAAGGAAATTGCAGGAAGGGAAGAGAAATGAAAGGAGAAAATCACACTGCAGAAACAGAAGTCTGCCCAGCACCATAGTACACTTCACCTATTGTGCTACAGACTGAACAGGAATCTTTAAAGCCTATAAACTTAAAGTCTATCAAGATTAATAAATTTTTGTCTTCAGTGTCTCAAGTCCTTCGGTGGCTTCAGTCATAATTCAGCTAATTTTCTATTTAGCTACCAGTAGCATATTGCATTGGTAATACCCAGGTTATTAAAAATGGGAGAATCATCTGAATAAATTCTAATCATTTAGAAAGGGTCTAAGACGTTTAGGTGACGATCCTTTGCCATGCTCATTTTACTCCCAGCCAACTGCCGCTGCCAAATCACAGCTAGCTTTCCTGCTCTGCTGCCCCACTGCCGGCTTGTTTATATTCAGTTATAAATTAAGGACATAAATTGCTTTACTTAGCTGTCCTAATGTAAATATCTTACTGTGGATTGTTTGGTAATTATTCTTTCAGAATGCATTAAAAACTCTGTAATTATTACCATTATTTTGTTCAACTGCCATGAGGTTATGTTTTGCCTTCACTGAGGCTTCAAAGGTGTCCACGTTTTCTCGTTCATACTCTTTAACATCAGCTGCTACCCGTTCAAGAATGCCTTCTGGTGAGTTGGAACGACTGCGAGTACTGCTTTGAGGGCTGCTTGGCTCAGACGGCACTGACATATTACTATCCTCTGTTAAATACTTATATTTCTAAAAAGGGAAAAAGCCATAATTTATATTGCATTTGATAATGAGATAAATAAAAATGCTAATTACATTTCCTCCAGCATTAGGGAAGAATCAATTCACTGCCCCTTCTGCACTATATAGTCAGATTTTATATCTCTCTGTTTTTGCTTTCTGAAGCCCAAGAGCAACCTCCCAAGAATTAAGATTCTGCTAGAAAAGCAAATCAGCTTCCTGTTGTGCCCAAGTTACATCCCTTCTTAGATAGGGAGGCCCTTCTCTCAGCCACTCATGCCCTGGTCTTCTCCCACTTGGGACTACTGCAATACACTCTACATGGGGCTAACCTTGAGAAGTATCTGGAAGCTTCATCTGGTACAGAAGGTGGCTCTGTAAGCAAATTTAGGTGCCTCAAGAGTGGTACATGTAATGTTTCGTTATGTAAGTTGCATTGCATTGTAAGTTTGCTTCCCTGTTCAATTCAAGGAGTTGGTTATGTGCTTTAAAGCTCTACATGGCAGATAATCTTTTGGAAGTGTTTGAATACCTGCCAATTCTCTTGGAGCACACAACCTTGAGGTGTTAGTACCTTAAAGACCCACCACCACCTTTTAACTTTGTTCTATTCTTAACTGCCTCTTTTTGAAATATACTATTTTTATGTTTTTAATTGTACACTGCCCAGAATTGCTCTATGAGTGAAATGGGTAGCCTCTAAATTTGATATATTAAACAAACAAACAAACAAATATGCATTTAGTCAATTCTAGACTGAGAAACCCATTTCATACTGCATATTCCAAAGTGCAATAGCCTGGCATTTACTATGCAAGCCCTTTTTTCAGTCTATTTCTTCCGAACTGCTTTCCTCTTTCCGTTACCACATGTGTGAGGAGACACACAGCAGCAACCAATTATGTCAGAAAATGTTTGGAAATGCAGGGCCATTTTAATATCTGTTACACACTCTAGTGAGTATGAACTATCAGTTTTGAAGCTCACTATATTACTCCTCTGGTTGTAATAACGTACAGCAGCTGTTCAAGCTAATGTCTTGATAAAGTGAACAAGTCAATGATTCAACATGGAGGCATGCTTCTTTTCTATTCATAATGGGCAGACATCTGTCTAGCTTTACATACAAGTGTTACATAAGTTTTAGAGTAATTCCTCAGTTTTCATTAATTGCGAAGATTTCTTTTGTGCAACCCATAAAGGTCACTTTAAAAAAAGGCCCTACATTATAAATGTTTTAACAAATGTCATTCAGAGCCATTACAACTTTGAATAGTAGGACTATTTTAACACCTGACAATTACAACTTTGTGTACATGACATCTGGAATTTACAAAAAAAATTATTTAAAACATTTATATAGCCGCCCATCTTATAGCAAACTCTGGACAACTCCCAGATGTTACAAGTGAATGACATTTCTTCCAATAAGTCTACTCAAAATGTTGGTCTGGTTTGAATAGAATTAGCAACATAACAAACCTGCACAATTGCTTGCCTCTGTAATCTTCTTTGCTCTATTAGAGCTTCCTCATCTTCTTCTTCAACATCGAAGTCTTCAAGGCTATTATTATACAAATTAACAATTTGATATCTCAGTATTGTATGTACTGATACAAGAACATGTATTTCCAATACATGGATTGGAATATAATCAACATTCTTGGCCTAAAGTTCAAAAAAATATTCACCTCTGTCTTTAGGCAACAGCTATTTTTCTTTACCGTATCTTAAAAACTTCTTAATTAGAAAGTCTTCCTGAAAAAAGCTGGTTAGAGGGAAAATTGGATTTTCTCCAAGTTGGGATGCACGTCCAGTTTGATAGTTCTCAACTCCCAACACCATCAGGAAGTTCTACATTGCTATGGAAGGAACTGGAAACACTTTACCACTTTCATAATGAAATTAAGCTACCTGGGTGACTTTGGGCGAGTCAAAGCTCTCAGTCAACTCATCTCACAGGGTTGTTGTTGTGTGGAAATGGAAGAAGGAATATTAAGTATGTTTGCTGCCTTTAGTTATTTGTAAAAATAATAAAGGTGGGATTAAAAAAATACAGTAAATAAAAATTGTATGACCTAAATTATGTTTATTCAATTATTGCATGGCGAAGACTAAGTCTCCCTTATACAGATAGTCCTCAACTTACAATGGTAATTTACCCATGGAACTATGTAGTAAATTGTGGTGGTTGTTAAGCGACTAACCCTACTTTTGTGGGGCAGTCACTAAGCAAACTAAGTGGTTATTAATATTTTGATAAACCTTTGATACAATCAAAGTTTGGGGGCGGGGGGGTCAATATAAGATACGATTAGTCTAGCAAGAATTGTTCTTGGCAAATCCATGCTGACCACTGCACTGCTTTCAAGGTGCTTACAAAGAGCTCTCCTTATGATCTACTCTAAAGATTTCCCAAGGTATCAATACAGATATCTAGCATCCAACAATCATCACCTGTTCCTAGGGCTGTTCATATAATATATAAATATTCAGTTATATTATTAAACCGCTTCACTACCAATCTCGTTTTTAGAGTTTTAAAACAACTAAAAAATGTCATTTTATCTACCATGTTTCTATCCCATCTTAATGAAAAAAAGTACTGGAACAGCTTAATGACTAATGCAACAACAGCAAATCCATTACAACATACTTTACTTACTAGCTTAAACTCCTAACTTAAGGCTTATCATCCCAGGGTATCACACTATATGATACTGAAATACAGCACTTACTTTTCATCAGATGACGATTCTTGCTCAACCTTCATTCCTTCTGAAAGGCTTCCCTTATATTTATCTTCTATTTTGCTCCTGCTCCGTCGTCTACGGCCACCTCGTGATCTGGATCGCCTTCTCAAACGAGATCTACTACGTCTACCCCTGTCTCTGAAAATTGTGTTAACAAAATATGTATTTTTATAACTACCATATTCATTTTGTTTGATACTATTATTTTACAATTCAAAGACTCAAATTATTGCAAAGATGGCACACATATATATATCACCGAAAAGATACCAGAGTAAAGTTTTTCTGATATAGCAGTAACACCATGGTATTGTGATGTCTTTCAAAACTTTTCAAGTAGAGCTAGTGTGGCAGGCAATCAGAAATTGAAGAACCTGTAGTTTAAAAACATCTATCTATTTTGCCAGCCATGATATTAGGATAATGTACTTTTAGTCAAGCATTTACTGGCAAAAATGCAGAATAAACTGACATGAAGTTTTAGCTATGAAATTGGAAAAAGTAAACTCACCTAGAAAAAAATCATTTTTTAGCATACAGATACAATTGCAATGCATCATGTGACAAAAGATAACACAATTCTTCCCTATTGTAGTGCATTACCCATTCTAACAATCTGCTTCAGAGGGATAAGAGATTTCAGGATATAAACTTGTTTTGATGGCAGATGGAAGCAAATGGGGAGAATCAACTCCCTCATGCTAATTGAAAAGTGGAAAATACCACTTGTACAGTGTTTATTTTGCTTACAAACTATACAGCTTATATACCTCCTCCGAGGAGATCTACTTCTCCTTCTTGGAGATCGGCTACGTCGAAGTGGAGAGCGAGATCTTCGTCGAAGTGGAGACCTGGATCTTCTTCTTGCAGGAGACCATCTAGGTGGACTGGCATCTTTTGATCGCTCCCTTCTTGAGAGGATGTCATCTCTAGTTCGTGTTCTTGAAGCACGTAAAAAAGAAAAAAGGAATTATAATCGAGGAAAGCCACTTTAAAAGTTCAATCTGAAATTAAACTAGAAAGGAATATTTAACAGATAAATTTAAACAAAAGAAAAATGTTAAACAAAAGTATGATTTTTTTTATATAACTCAGACTTAGGAACTCATCTTCTCTGATGATTAGCCATCCAACTAAGCTTTGACAAAACTGTAGTTCAAAATTTTTGGAGGATATCAGGCTGGAACGATTTTCACAATCTTTGAGGTAAGTTTATAGCTGACAAGGAATGAATATAACTCAAGACTTATTTTCTAGTTTATATATTAAAATCAAGAATCTAGAAAACGGAAACTTAACTAAAGATAGTGTTATTTCTAAACAATGAAAGAACATGATTTATGAACATCTAAATTTGCATGCAATGTTTAAACTGCATCTTCATACACAATAATCTGAAACTTCCTGCACTTGTGTTTATATAGGTAATAGGGACATATTTTAAAAACATGTAATAAAGCAAAAATATCACTACTGTATTGATTCTTTCTTTGAAGTTTGCAGTGATGCCAATACTAAAATTATTAATATGCATGCTAGCCAAGAAAAGGTATGTCTCTTTGTGAATCTGTCATGAAGAACCCAGACAACTAATCACTTTGTTCTAGTGAGCTGATAAGCAGAACCTGAGAACAGAAGTTAGCTTCCCAAATCAAACGGGGGTTGCTGAATAGATGAAGAAAAAACAGAACTCCATAAAAAGAAACAGGAAGATTCTGATAGAGAACACTTGTGGCTAACAAACTAAAATGGGTCTAGAAAGCCTGGCAATGTTGGCTGGTCCTGAGGTAAACTGGAGAGGCTAGATCTATGCCAGCAGTTTTGTTTTAAGAGACGCTCCTCAAATGGAGCATGTACAATCCAGAAACCTAGATTGGAGACTAGAATCTACTTGCAGAGAAGGTCCAGATAAAGATCTAGTTCTACCAGCCAGAGACTAAGCAAAAATGTAATTATTGAATATATGCATTTAAGCTGCATAAGGTTCACTAGAAAGTTCCCTTTAACATATATCTCAAGTGGTGGCTTTATTCCATCACTACTCACAGTATATTTTAAACTTCCAATTGTGATTGCGTTCCTACCCTGCTATTGGTAAAAATGGGCAACAGAAGGGAGAATCCCTGCTTAGCTTAACCTAATTGCAGATTATAGTTGTAAAACTAGTCTGGAAATAATGAAGTGAAAATTCATAACAGGTTCCGCTGTTATCCAAATTATTGTAGAAAAATATTTTTAAATAAGGTTTTTTAAAGCTATGAAAGTAAAGCGAGACTCTGTAATGATAGCTTTATAATGATTACAATAATTTGGTTGTGTGGCAGATAAAAACTGAAACTCTTAACCAAGAAAAATGAAAGAAGCTGTTGGAGGATAAATCACGATGTACAGTTTAAGGAGATGGGGGAAGAGAGCTGAGGGAGGCAAAAAAGTAACACTTGCTAACTATCACATTTTTTGCTTTCCTCAGCAAAGAAATGAATTTTCTTTTCAATATACTGCCTTGCATTTCAGCAATATGCATGATTCTGGATGACAAAACTGAAAACTGAAGACATAGTATAAGCATATCTACGGTATATAAGCATAAAAGTGTGAACTCTATCTATCCACTACTTTTCAAGACAAAAATGGGACAAAAGTAGCACATACATTTCAAATGTAGTACACTAGACAATGTAAAAATGTGATTTTACTTACAGTTATAAAATGATTCTTGCAACAACCAAAGCATATTACCATGAGCAAATTTAATCTCCTGATCAGACGCTTCATATTATACAATATACTACAGCAGTTTTAGGTTTTAGCAAAGTATTAGCTGTTGTCTACACTTAATCCTCACCCATTTTATTGCCTCTAGCAATCCTGCAACTAATTCAACAGACATTAGCTTGCTTTCTTACATTCAGTATACTTAAGCTTTATCATACTGTATAAAACACGCACAAGGAAAGCCTGAAAATTTTGTTTTACCTAAGTTTCAAAAGCTTCTCATCCCTGATTTTTCCCTCTACAGCAGGGGTGTCAAACTGGCGACCCATGGGCTGGATGTGTCTCAGGCAGGCCACGCTCACCCCAGCTCCACAAAGGGTAAAAATGTCATGATACATCACATGATAGCAATGTGACACCATGAGTTTGACCACTGTGCTCTATAGGAACCTATGAAGTTACTTATAATCCTGGTCAAGAGAATACTTCAAGCATTTGATCATGTTTATTTATGACTAAGTTAGTGAATCAGATGTTGACTTCTTGTATTTGTAAAATGGACTTCAACATGAGAACAGAGATGCCCTTCTAAATCAGCCATTGACCCATCTAATCCAGCAGTTTCTTCTTACAACAGCCACCCAATTGAGCAAAGAAACTTAATAGTCCCCCACACAACAGATGGCCTTCAGAGGCAGTCACACAGCCATCAAGGTTAAGAGCCATTCTTTCCGATAATTTCAAGGAATTGGTCTTATCCTTTTTTTTGAAACTAACCAAGCTGATAGCTAGTAAAACTCACATGCTGATTATTTTCAAAGTTTAATTATGCATTGAGTTAAAAAAAATACTTTTTCTCTGTGCTGATTCTTCCAGTATTCAATTTCATGATTCTGATTCTAGAATTTTGGAAAAGGAAAAATAACTTCTCCTTTTCTATTTTATTCACACTATCTATAATTCTTTATACTTCAATCATATCCCTTGTTTATCTCCTTTCTGTAAATCCCTAACTGTCACCACAATCTCACATTTAACAGTTATCAGGAAAAGTATATAAAAAGCATATTGATAAAAAAATGCATTTCTTATGGTTACTTATAATCCATGCAAACTCATTAAAATCTTACATTAAATCATTGCTTCAACAGATTTTCAGAGTTTTTATTTAATTTGTGAATTTCATCTCAGAACACCAATTAAAGATATACAAAAACAAATTCCACTGAACTTGAAATGCTTTTAAAATATGCTGCATTTTAAAATGCAAAAGACATATTAATATATTGAATGACTGCACACTAATTTAAGCATATTGATAGGTACCACTGAACTGACTCCCAAAATAAAACTATAGCAACAAGCACTAATTAAATTCCAATATACTAAGCGACCTGAAGGTTTACTAAAAATATTTTAATTTACATTATAGTTATTTAATCCCTAATTAGTTTGGCTGATAAACTATAAGTACAGAGGAATAGAGGACAAGCCTAACGTCTCCTTTAAGAAAAGATGTTAAATTAGAATTCTAAAATACAAATATATTACTATGTTCAATGTGTTTTTCTGTTCTGAAGAGTACAACCACACCTCAGATTCCATACAACCCAGCAATTTATCTGCCAATTAGGACCAGATCAGGTGCTTTCACCTGATACTTCTAGTTAATCTCTAAATTGCACTGCCTCTGCAACTTGCCCTTATTATCAAAGAGTGGCTCTTTTATAACCATTTGCAGTCACTGAACCCCAAAATATGAAAACTAGCACAATCCAGACATCACAGTCTATCATTTCTATAATCTCTTACACTACCTTTGTTGACTGTGGGTATAGGGAAAGAGAATAGGCGTTTTATTGATTCTTTTTTCTATTCACTGCCAACTTACTTATTCTATTGCATCCTATAAACAAATGTAATTGTTAAACTAAAACCCTGAAATATAAAATTAGTGTAAAACACGATCCATTATTCAAGGACAGCTTAAAATATTACTAATAACCAGGAAGTGACATGAATTTTGCTGATTTCTTACATCCCCAATGTAATACATACCATCCTAAAGGCAGATTTCTGGAGCATGCAAGGAGGAATATTGGGAAAAATTATCCTCCACCCACTCCCACTTTTATAATTGTGAGTAATATATAAATCAAAATCATTACTTTTTTCCCATTAGCATTACCTGGGAGAAGAAAAACGCCTCCGTTCTGATTCTCTTCTTTTTCTATCTGCTGATCTGCTCTTTGCTTTCCTAATGGGAGACCGATTTCGAGATGGTGATTTACTCTGTTTAGATCTGCGATCATTAAGCAGGGGTGATCTGCTACGTCTTAGTTTATCTCGTGGTTTTGGGGATAAACTTCTTCCTTTAGGACTACGACCAGGTCTTTTACTAGGAGACCTGTTTTCTTTACCTGATGACATATCTTTTGAAGGTGATTTGATGAGCTTCTTTTCTTTTTCAGTCTCAGATCTCCTGGATTTTCTATCTTTTGACCTTGATTGTCTATCTTTGGATTTGCTTCTTTGTTCTATTGGAGATCTGGATTTTTTGCTACGATCTCTAATTTTATTTTCATTAATAACCGGAGATTTTTTACGATCTCTTGATTTGATCTTCTCTTCTGCTTTAGTTTTATCTTCTGGAGGAGACCGTGACTTCTTATTTTTTTCTTGAGAGCGCCTTTTAAGAGTTGGAGATTTTGACTTTCCTATTTGATCTTGAGACTTTGTTCTTTTAGATGGGCTTTTAGATTTCTTTCTTTCTTTTGATTTACTTCTAGTAGCTTTCTCTTTTATACCATCAACTCCTGACTTGTTTTTCTTTTTATCAGACCTGTGTCGAGTCCTTTCTTTTGATCTGCTCTTACTGCGTTTCTTTGAGCTTTTATTGTCTACAATCTCAAGCTTTCCCTTAACATTTGATTTATTTGCAGATCTAGTTCCATTTCTCGCTTTATCATTGATTTCTCCTTCTTCTTCTGAACCTGACTCATATCCTTGTAATATTAATCCCATCCCAGATTGAACCTTTCCTTCCATTAACTCATTTTCAAGTTCAGCTTTTAATAATGCTCTTTGTTTCTCTAAATCTTCTAGAGGAGCTAAGAAGTCAATCTTAGTTCTTTTTGCTGGCCCATCTTCTTTATCAGAAATATCAGCAACCTCCTTTCGTTTATGTTTCTTATGTTTGTGCCTATGTTTATGCTTTTTGTCCTTATCTTCTTCTGAAGAATGTTTGTGTTTCTTATGTTTGCCTCGATGTTTGTGTTTCTTTTTTTTATGTCGACTATGTTTAATTTGTGGTTGGTCACCTTCTGAAATATCTCCATTTTCTTCATTTGCACTTCGCTCAGATATATCAGCTTCTTCAATTCTGTAAATATATTTCAAAAAGCAGAATCTAAATAAATTTAAATCAACAAAATATTCTTTATGCTGTATTTTCCAATCAGACAATTATAAGATATTTAAATAATTTAAATCATTTTTAGGCAGAGAGATAGCAAAATGATCTGCTGGGTATACATATGTTTACTTTTACTGCTTAGATCAAGGGTCTTCAAACTTGGCAAGTTTAAGACTTGTGGACTTCAACTCCCAGAATTCCTGAGCTAACATGACTGGAGGAAGAATTCTGGGAGTTGAAGTCTTAAAAGCCTTAAAAGTCTTAAAAGCCGTCAAGTTTAAAGACCCCTGGTTTAGATAAATGTCACATGATAGAATTCAAGTGGCAAACTATATAGAAAATGGGTGGAAGTTGTTTTCAGTTATATAGATACAATATTTAAAATTTCACACGAAAAGTAGAAATGACAAAGAAAAATGAAATGCCAGGGAATCAGATTTGACATCTTGTGACGGTATAAAACATTCTCCCTTTGACCTGTCTTTAACAGATGTGAATGGAAATTCTGGGATCCATATGTTCTATTACAGAAAACTCTTGCACTTAAGATATATGGTGCTTGCTTTACAGGTGATTGTCCCCAAAAACCTGACATTTAAAATGCTTTGAAATGGCATATTATTTAACTGCTTATTAATCTGTTGATTTCAATACTGAAACATGGTTTACAAAATTATTATAACATTTTTTCTCCATATCAGAATTTTTAGTTTTTGTATTTAATTTACAACTCGCTTTTACTATTTCTTTATAAACAACTAAAGACAGTTAATATATCTAACACTTCTTCCTCCTCCTGTTTTCCCCACAACAATCTTCTGAGGGCTGAGAGAAAGTGACTGGCCCAAAGTCACCCAGCTGGCTTTCAAGTCTAAGGCGGGACTAGAGTATATATGTGGATTACCCTTTTAAATCAGAAATCGCACCTTATCAATATCTGTACCACTTGAGAAAATGAGGGAAACGAATAGGCACCACCTCCCCCAAATGTTATATTTGTGCCATTCTGCCCTCATATAAGTTTTGTCTAACCAGATGGTCGTGATTTATGAAAACAATAGTAAGAATCTAGCTTTGAATGATAAAGTAGCAATTAAGTTCATAAGTGTAAATATATCCAAATATATCCAATTCAGCTTGCACTATTTATGCAGAAATTATGTCTAATACAAAAATCAGTCTAGCTTGATTTTTTTTTTTTAAAAAAAAAGATCAAATGGGGTGCTATGGGATGGGCTGGATACAGAGGGCAGTAGAAAAAGGAATGGAAAAAAAGCTAAAGTGGCAAGTGGTGAGGAGCAAGAGATCACCTTTGTATCACTGAGGAGGTGGAGAAGGAGCACTAAAGAGATGCTGCTTGGCTCAGGGTCTCTTCTACCCTTCCTCCTCCATCTTGAAACATTAGATGGGTAGTGATTCAAAAACAACGAACAAGAATGGCAATATGTGCAAAGAAGGAAAAACACACCAAGGCATGTGCAGAATGAACAACTGCACAGACAGATCAGAAACTAATTTGTTCATTATTTGGGGATGAAGTCACTGCAGTTGTTGCACTGTATTTAACAACTGTCTAATCAAGTGGAATAGAACTTTGAAGAAGCTGAAGTTTAATATTTAGACACCATACTTTACTGTCTCTGCCAAAAACTTATTCAGTATGTCGTTTTTATATCTAAAATTGTTTATAGCTATTGAAACCCAGCCAATTTCAACGAATTTGGTAAATTTTCTTCTATAACATTGTGTACAAAGGACCTTGGTCAGTGGGATAATGCAGATTGGTCTCTAACAACACACTTGCATCTTAATGCAAGTTGTTAGATCAGTCAAGGAGAAGGATCAAATTCTTTTAGGTAACACTTAGTCCACCATAGTTTATGGGGGAGTACAATTTGTGTCAAGCCTTCATAAAAAGCAACATCTCACACTTTGCAAGTAACCTGAAACACATTAGAAAAAATAATGAAAAGCAAAAATTGATTAACAATCCAGAATACAGAAATACAGTGTATCAACCTTGTTGCCAAACCATTTTTTTAAAAAAAATGGAGGCTCACATTCCCATTTTACCAAGTCCCATTTACCTAAAAAAAACAACCCCTTTTTAATTTATTTTGAAATAAGTGTGCACACGAACACTTAACTTGAATTTGATATTTTTTTGGTTGTTAAATCATTCCTCTATTTTTAAAAAAAAGGCCTGATCACTGGTAATGGTTACGCCTCCTGTGCAAGTGTCCCTACGTTATTTGGGAATTTATTTAGAAAGGGAAACTACACATGCACCAATCCGATTTCATGAGGACAAAGTGGACTTTTTTCCCCAAGAGTCGGGTTTTCTTTTCCTACCCGACCCCCCCCCCCCGCCACCTCTAACCAGAAGATCGTGCAGAGGGCATTAGAAGTTAGCAGCCGTTAGGCGAAGAAGGCAAAGCCTCGGACGAGCTTCCAAGTATTTGTTTTAAGGTCTTCCTCTCTCAACTGAGAGGCGAAGCGTTAAAGCGACAGGAAGGTCAGAACCGTACGACTAAATACGACGGCTGGGGCAAACTTGAGAAGAAGCCAGAGAACTCCGGGGTCAGGCCCGACGAAGGCCTCCCCGCGACCGTTATAACAGCTCGTCGATAGCGCGTTCTAGGCCCTCCGCTCGCTTTCTTTCTTTTTTTCCCCCTCCGTTCCCTCGTTAAGTGAAGCGCAGCTAAAAAGGCCAGATGTAGTTATTATCATCCTTTAAAAAAAAAAAAAAAAAAAAGTAGCCTTACCCGTGTCCCCGCATTGCCAACTCCACCAATGTCGGGGCAGCCATTTTGAACTCCCAAACTGCTTCTTCGCCACCGCTGCTGCTGATGGTCGGTGAGGTTGGAGATTGGCGCATGCGCACTAGGGACACACACAAACACACACACAAAAAAACCTGAGCCGACAGCAAGGCGAAGGCGGAAAAAATGGCTCGTCGCTTGAAGCAAACCGGAAATGAAGTAAACATCGCGAGCCTGGAGAAGGGCAATAATGTCCCAGGAATAGGAGATCCTCGGACGACTAAGGATTTATGGGTGACTCTACTTCCGGCTCTTTGTTGAGCTAGATAAGAGCGCGGCATGTTCCGATGGAACAAAATACCTTGAGAAGAAGGAGCATTTTTTCTATTTCGCATATAATTAGGAATGTTCTTGGCGCGGATATGGCAGAACGGAATAGGAATAGCTTTGCTGGCTGGGGAATTCTGATAGTTGAAGTCCACCAGGCTTAAAGTTGCCAAAGTTGGAGACTCCTGCCCTATACCATTTCAGACAAGTGGCTGTCCAGCCTCTTCTTAAAAACCTCCAGTGATGAAGCTGTAGATACAAGGGTCTTCAAACTTGGCAAGTTTAAGACTTGTGGACTTCAACTCCCAGAATTCCTGAGCTAACATGACTGAAGGAGGAATTCTGGGAGTTGAAGTCCATAAGTCTCAAAGCTGTCAAGTTTGAAGACCCCTGACTAGGATTTGCATTTCCCTTTGCCTATACAGACAACCATGACCCCATAGGAATCTGGCAATAGCATCTGGCAAAAGAAATATTCTTGCAGAGGAATGGGAATTCCAAATACAACCCAAAGAAGGTATAAAAATCCACCCACTCTCAACTGTATTGTATAAATACATTATAACATAATGTATCTATAATGTATAAATACATTATAACTGTATAAATACAAGCTAAATAATCAAGACCTTGTTGAGGGTCCAAACTTTGTCAAGGACCTTGGGGTACTCATCTCTAATGATCTAAGTGCTAGAGCCCACTAACTACATAGCCAAAAAGGCATTAAGAGTTGTTAATCTAATCCTACATAGCTTCTTCTCTGTTAATATCACACTACTAGCTAGAGCATACAAAACATTTGCTAGACCTATACTTGAATACAGCTCATCAGTCTGGAATCTATATCATGTATCTGATATTAACACAATTGAAAAAGTCCAGAAATATTTCACAAGAAGAGTTCTCCGCTCGTTGCAGAATACCTTATGCCACCAGACTTGAAACTTTAGACCTAGAAAACATAGAACTACGCCGCCTCCAGTCCGATCTAAATATAGTATATAAAATCATACATTGCAATGTCCTACCTGTCAATCAATACTTCAGCTTCAACCATAACAATACAAGAGCAAACAATAGATACAAACTCAAGGTTAACCACACCAAACTTGACTGCAGAAAATACGACTTCAGCAACGGAGTGGTCAGTTTTTGGAATACTCTACCTGACTCTGTGGTTTCTTCCCCCAACCCCAAAAACTTTAACCTTAGACTGTCTACTATTGACCTCACCCCACTTCCTAAGAGGCCTGTAGGGGGCGTGCATAAGCGCACCAATCGTGCCTACCATCCCTGTCCTATTGTTTCTTTTTATTTTTCTTATAAGTATCTATCTCATGTATTCAAAGCTATGTTTGTTCTTATACCTGTATCTTGTAAGCGATTGACAAATCAAATAAATACTAAATACTAAAATAGTATTTTGTCAGCTGTTCCAGAACTGTACGCTCTGTGTGTGGTGGTTCTATTCATCAATAAAGTTATTTTCCAATCAGCCTCCATTTTATTCCCAGCTTGGAACTGAAACTGGATTTTTCTTCCAACAAAGCACCCACAAATTCTGTAGACAAGCTATTACACTGTTTAATTGTCCTCACTGTTAGGGAATTTCTCCTTAATTTCAGGTTGCTTCACTCCTTGATTAGTTTCCATCCATTGTTTCTTTTCTTACCTTCTGGTTCTTTGGAAAATAAGTTGACCCCTCTCTTTTGAGGGGTAGCTCCTCAAATATAGAACACTGCTATCATGTCACCCTACTACTTCTTTTCTCCAGCCCCAAATCCTGCAAACTTGATCCAATGAAAACAGAAAACAAGAGAATATGATTTTTTTACTGTGTTTCTCCAACAATACGGCCTCCACCAATAGGAAGCCCCACCATGTTTTATTGGCATAAAATCAAATTAAGCCCCTCCCCCCAAATTAAGGCCCATATTAAACATGTGAAAAGGGGGGGAATGGCGGGGGTGCTTGCCGTTAGGAAGTACTTTTGTTGCATACCCGGATATGGTGCTGCCTGCTTTGGTGGGGCACTTCATATCGGGAGACCTTCCGCCACCGTTGCTTTCCCTTCTCCCTTGCTGCCGCAGCGTTTAGAGCAACGCCGTGGCGTTTGGAGCAACGCCGTGGCATTTGGAGCAATGCCGAGACATTTGGCGCAGCCATGCGCAGCCAGCCATGGCTCCTCCCTGCAACCGGAGCCCTGCGGAGACACTTGGCTTCAGGCGCTCCTGTCACCGCCTTCCCTTTGCCTTTGAAGGTAAAGCCAATTCTTTTAAAAACAACACCCTACTACAACAAAGCCTCCCCTCCCCAAGAGGGCAGCCCAACCCCACATGGGGAGGCGAATCTCCCGGGGCCGCAGCGCAGGATCAGCCCACCCCGGAAGAAGCACCCAGCCGCCATCCCTGCCTGGCGCTGGGCAGAGCGCGAAGAGCTTCGCCTGGGGCGCCCAGCACAGCTGACAGGCGGGCCCTCCTGCCCGGCGGCAGAGCTCTCGCCAAGGCAGCGAGCGCCTCCCCGCCGGGCCCTCTGCTCATCCCACCAGGGCTGCACCGGAGGCAGCAAGGGAGAAGGGAAAGCAACGGTGGCGGAAGGTCTCCCGATACGAAGTGCCCCACCAATGCCGAGGTCAACATCTAAGCTGTCGCCGCCCGCCCACCCGAGGATGCAAGGGGAGGAATTAAGTCACCCCCGAAAAGACGGCCTAGCCGTCAAAAAAAAAAAAAGGCCCGGCCTTATTTTGTGAGAAACACGGTATATATATCCCGGGCAATAATGGGACATTAACCCTTAGGATAGAAAAAAAACCAAAAGATCCAGGACCAGGATTAAACCATTAAAGCAGGAAAAACAAAACCAAGCAATCACCTCAGCTAGAGGCACATCAAAACCCATCAAAGTGTATGAGCTTTAAAGGAAAATTAAGTATAAAAAGGTATCGGTTTGCTATCCCAATCTGCTAGCTAGCCAGGAACTCTTGAGCTGAGTCACTACATCCTCTTGTCTTCCTAAATTAAAGGATTCCATTTTCTGGCAGCTTGCTTCAGTGTCAATTTCTTCTCAGTGCCAGTGACTGCTTCCCAGCTGGGGAACAAACCAGGAGAGGTGGGGAATGGAGGGATTTATACTCCTTGCAGACAGTTCATTGACCAGCTGTCTTGCAAGGAGTATAAATCCTTCAATTCCCCACCATCCAGTCAGAGCTGAAGAAGCTTCTTGGATGAGAAGCAAAATGTCTTCAAAGAAAAACTACAAAGTCTGGTTGCTCTTGAAAAAGCACCTTTGGGAATGACATTTCAATGCATATTTTATTATTCTCATGAAATTGCAGTTAAGCATAGAGCAATCTCACAGGTGTAGGAAGTTAGCACCACCCCACTCCTAGAAAAATGAAATATCCTAGGAAATATTAAAAAGGCAGAATATTTCCCCTAAAAAGAGTAGAAATTCAGAAGCAGAAACTCACCACTGAAGCAGAAACTCAGCCCCCCCACCTTTGCTAATTTGCTCATTACTCTGGCCTAGGTCAGCCTATTTTACATAAAAAAGATCTCCAAGTAGAGCTATAGGAATTGCCCAAAGCCCTTTCATTACATCATCATCCAGCAAGGCTCAACCAAGCCTGGCACTCAGGACAGCCTACAGAGTTGCCCCTGTACGGCCCCATGGGAGTCTGACAACCAATCAGAATACAAGCTCAGATTCACATCCCAACAGAGGGTATATAAGGGACTCAGTATCTCAGCCCTTCCTTCTCTTTTTTCTTATTTATTTATTTTTGATTTGATTTGCCAATTGTTTACAAGATAATAAGTATAAATGTATACATAGTTGTGAATACATGAAATGGTTACATATAAGAAAAATAAAAGAATAAGAGAAACAATAGGACAGGGACGGTAGGCACGTTGGTGCGCTTATGCACGCCCCCTACAGGCCTCTTAGGAAAGGGGTGAGGTCAATAGTAGACAGTCTAAGGTTAAAGTTTTTGGGGTTTGGGGAAGAAACTACAGAGTCGGGTAGAGTATTCCAGACATTGACCACTCTATTGCTGAAGTCATATTTCCTGCAATCAAGTTTGGTGCGGTTTACTTTGAGTTTGTATCTATTGTGTGCTCTTGTGTTGTTATGGTTGAAGCTGAAGTATTCATTGACAGGTAGGACATTGCAATGTATGATTTTATATACCATGCTTAAGTCAGACCGAAGACGGCGTAATTCAAGGTTTTCTAGTTCTAGAATTTCAAGTCTGGTGGCATAAGGTATTCTACAGCGAGTAGAGGAGTGGAGAACTCTTCTTGTGAAATATTTCTGGACTTTCTCAATTGTGCTAATATCAGATACGTAGTAAGGATTCCAGACTGATGAACTGTATTCGAGTATTGGTCTAGCAAATGTTTTGTATGCTCTGGTTAGTAGTGTGATATTACCAGAGAAAAAGCTACGTAGGATTAGGTTAACAACTCTTAATGCCTTTTTGGCTATGTAGTTGCAGTGTGCTCTAGCACTTAGATCATTAGAGGTGAGTATTCCAAGGTCCTTTACAGAGCTTGGGTCATCAACAAGATCTTGACTATTCAGCTTGTATTTTATTTTCTGATTTTTTTTGCCAATATGTAACCCAACATCTTAAACATCTTCACCCAACATCTTAAAGCATCTGATCATCCTTCCTTCTTTCGAGCTCCAAGCCATGTAGTCCTCCTGTCCACTATTAAACCATCTTTCCAAACAGCCTCCATGTTTCCAGTGTCATTTTCCCCACTTGGAACTGAACCCAGAAGGATATTTCTTCCAAC